TTTTGCAGTCTACAGCCTTGTTATCAAGCTGAATTTTAATATCTCGAAAGGACCCTATTGGGTTGCTTCTGTAGGTACAGTCTACGTCATAAGATTGTCGCTAAATTAATTCTGTGCAATTGCATAATTATCAAAATCATTTTGTAACATGCATAAATTTCAGAGCTGGATCAACCAACAAAACTTTTCCACATGCCCACACATGCACACTTCCGTCCACACGTCCGTCCACGTGTCTGCACGTCCAAATGTCCACACGCTGGTCTGCTTTAGAGAAAGTTCACAATTTCAGTCTTTGCTATGTACATGTATACGCAATTAGTTTTCAAGTATTGAACTAGTGCGAGGTCCGTATTGGGGCGAGGTCCATAAACTTGCAAAAAAAGAATGAGACCAATATTCCCCAATACAGACCGAACAAGCTAGTTCAATTTTTTTAATAAAATGGCTTTTTAAAACTTTTCTGATAAATTAATGCAACCATTCACGGCTAACGCGCACACGCCAAAGTTAAACATATTCTTGCATTTCTCAGGCCACTTTGCGAAAAGTACTAATAGAATTAAGCAGTTTTCTTTTGTTCAATGTTTCATAAAAGGAATTTGGTGAAATGAGTGGTCCATCTTAGTGGTCCGTATTACAAAATTCGGACTGCTCAGGGAACCAATCACAATGCTCTTGTTTGTGATGGACCAGTTTTCCATATAATAAAATGTAGTTACCGGTATGTAACATAATTTATTATTGCTTACCAGTATGAGCCCCTTTAATTTCTTGGCCTACCTCTACTTTTAGATGTGAGAAGTGCCAGAGTAAAACTAGATGGGTTGCTGAAAGATCTTATTAAGAAAACAGAAGAAAGGTGACATTTTGTCAATTTGTTTCTGTTTGTTACTAAATATAAGCCTAAGCTACATGTACCATTTTATTCCAGGTCAGGCCAGCCTAATGCCTGGTTCACACTAGCGGCATAATGACATTAGAACGTCGTTATGTCACTAGTGTGAACATGCAGTCATAACGACATATTAGCATCATAACGACATAAGGAAAAGATCAGCTTTTTCCTTATGTCGTTATGTCCATGTTGTTATGATGCTAATATGTCGTTATGACTGCATAATCACACTAGTGGCATAATGATGTTCTTATGTCGTTATGTCACTAGTGTGAACCAGGCTTAACTGATCAGCTGCTTGTGAATTGGCCAAAATTGACCTGTAAAACAGCTGCATTTTTTAACTTTTGCATGTCCCATTTGTCGAACAAATGAGAATTCAGCAGTCTGTTTTCCCAGGCTAGAGTATGTTCAACTTGATGCTTGTTTTTTTTTTAAATTTATATCAACAGTGAGGATGAGGCTAGTTCTACAGCAGGAAGGTAAGCGGCCCTACATGTAATTTCCATTACTGTATGTTAAATTCCACCCACTATTATTCTATTTTTCGTATTTCATTCTAGCTACAAATGTAGTAGCCTGCATGCTGACGTCTCTGATTTCCTGGCATCATGCAGAAAAGTCAAGGAAATAGGAGACGTCTGCACACAGGCTACAAATGTAGATGTATCACTGCTTCCTGTTTTTGATAGTTGATTAAAACAGTATACACTTGTAGTTCATGCGATGTTAATTTTATTTTGCAGTTCTGTGTCATTCCAAATGCCACCACCATCGACTCCAACTAAAAGGTATGGTATCGCCTGACAGTAATGTGTGTGGTTATTTCTTGGCTAACAATCACTGCTTGTGTTTTGATTGACAGTTATATTGGAACAAGAATTGTCCAGAACAAGTGCATTTCAGTAGGAAGGATCTTGGAGGGAGGGGGAAGTGTCTTGTACCTCTCGTCTCCTCCACCTTAAATTAGCCTCCACTCCTTTAATCTACATTTTGACCCACCCCAAGTAAATAGCCTGCAGTCCATAGAGTGTGTGTAAGCCGTCACCTTGAATTAGGAAAACATTAGAGGCTTGAGGCGAGTGCAAAAGAACGGTGAAGGGAGTGGGAGTCAGGCAGAAAGGCGAGTGAGGGGAGCAAAAAACGCCCCCTTCCTCGCCCTCTTTCACTCGTTCTAACTCTCCATGTTTTGCAAATCCAAGATGGCGGCTAAACACTCGAGCAAGACCATCGCAAGCCCACAAATAGAAACCGCCTGCATTGCAGGCTACCAAGCAAATTTTTCAGCCACTCGCGTTTACTTCAGTTCTACGTTAAACCAGCTTGTATGGACTATAAGTTGTTTGTATGTGATGTTTGTTGACAGTGCTAGAAATTATATTGATGTTATTTTTTTCTCCTTTATATGCCACCCTTGCTTCACATGAAGGAGTGCCTCAGGTAAAATTGCTCATTAATATATAAAAAATACCATGCCGCCAATTACATGTACAATAATATAATGATTTAATTTATGAAATTATATTCTTTAGGCTCAATTTCAATAATCCCCCTGTTGCATTTTCATTGATGACATTACATTGTACCTGCTTTTAGTAGAGCATCTCATCTGTTATAAACTGCTCAGGCCCCCTTTTATGGCCTTTTACAATGTATAAGAAAAGTTACATCAGCCTTACAATGTAACTACAGCCTCACAACCCACCCCACACCCCATCCCACCCCACCCCATGGTCTCTGTGTGGCTGGGACTATGACGGAGTGTCCCCTTTCATGTAGGAAATGTGTCTGACTACAGATATGTATATTAGGGATTGTTGGTGAAAATGATGTGCAGTGCATACAGTGTATAGTTTTCCGCCAGCTTATTTGTCTGATTTGATAACTTTCTCAATCTGTTCTCGATCATTTTTAACATGTTTGTTGTTAAAATTCTCTTCTAGGGAAAACCCCAAGGAAAAGACGCAAGAAAGATTTAGGATATGATGGTTAGAACAACTACAACATGTAGCCTCCTATGCAGACATTCTTTTGGCACGTCACGCAATCTCCCAAAAATTGGAAAGGAGAGATTACGCGATGAGCCAAAAGAATGTCCGAGTGTGCATTATCATTTGAACAAAATAACTTTGTGTTTCAATGGGTGTCCTGAAAATTTCACATTTCCATATCATGGATTTTCCTTTCTTTTCTTCCCGAAATCTCTCATTATTTGATTTCCTACAAAAATTTCTGCAACTTGCTTTTTGAATGGAAAACTCCCTGCAATAACGTTGTAAAAACTGAATGCAACTGTGTTCCTCTGCAGATGGGGACGGCAATAGTCAGAACCGTAAGTACCTGTAGTTATTGATAATAAACATGGTTTTATCAATATTAATAATTATTATAATATTATTATGCTTGCAATATTTCTTAGTATAAAGCCTTGTTTACATGTAGAGCTCTACATGATAGTATACAGCCTATATAATATACAGCTAGACTGCAAAACAGTCGTTATTTTTCCGCTCAATAAGGCGCGAAGCGCCGTAAGCGTGATCCTCGCGCGCGAAGCGCGCAAGCCTCGCGCGCGCCCGCAGGGCGGGTGAGGCGAGAAAAATAACGACTGTCGGCATTCCATACAACGAATTCGTTCTGACCGGGGGTTCAAATATTATCGCTGAGGTGTTAAAAATACTTGACAGCTCCAACCACATTTTTTGTTTGTCCAAGTTCGCTCTTCAGTGTTGATGTCAACGAGAGTCTTGAGGATTAATTTTGGTTCTATATTGCCTGTAAAATGTAGGAAGTGTTCTGTTTGAAGAGAAATCGGTCGGATGAATCAAACAACACTGAAGAAACCCGCCTCGCGAAGAGGGAAAAATAATAAGAGTACACGTAGCGAGCGCGCCAGACAATGGCAGATTTGTATCGCAATTAATATTTGGTCATTTTAAAACTAAATGGATATCCACAGAAAACATACTTGCCGAGCCCCAAAGAATTGGAAAAACGTTGCAGCCTTTGACCGAGGTTATCAAAGTCGATCTGTCGCTTCAATTTGAAGAAGGAACTATCTTTTCGTTGAGAGTTTGCTCGCCGTGTGCCCTCTGCTCTGTGTTCGCAAATTTTAAAAGAGAAATTAAACAAGAGCAATCAAACTTTTACCATCGCTACTGATCACGACGCCGCAACTTGAGAGGAGGACGGTTTGAGATTGAAACGAAGGAGTAAATATCCCCGGTAAATTTCCGACATCTCCATAAAAGTGCGCGCGTGTATCAACAGAGCTATTGTAGCGCCATCATTATTATTTCCCGAACAGCAGCCATTTAAAGGAAGCTTAAGCTCGTCGTTCTCTGACATTAGGCTCCTAGGACAAGGAAAATTTTCTGCCAGATCTTCCCGGAACAGAACGCGTTCCACAACGGAACAGACCCATTTTAGACCCGCCGAAACTTCAGTTGTCGTAAATTATGCAAATTCCACGAAGAGCTCGTTTTACGTGAAATTGACACGGCTTCGAATATCTCTGATGAGGTGCGATGAACATTTTGTTGACAGGTAGCGTCAAAATTCAACCAATGGGAATTTCCCGTTGCTGGAGGAACGGGAAATTCGAACGAATTCGTTGTATGGAAAGCCGACAGTCGTATTTTTCAGCGTCTCTCCCCAGTCCTACTCTCCGTTTTCACACTCGCTCCAGACCTTTCATTCGAAGACCGCGCGCGTATGAATCGTAACGCGAAAAATACGACTGTTTTGCAGTCTAATATACAGCCAACTCTCTCAAAACGAACACCACTGTAAGGCGGACACCTCTCTAAGGCGGACATGGTTGGTTTGTCCCGACCGAATCAAGTTTTTCTTATTTTTCTGTAACGAAACTCGCTATAAGGCGGACATCCCTTTAAGACGGACAGTTAGAGCTGGTCCTGAGGGTGTTCACCTTAGAGAGAGTTCACTGTATTATTGTATTTCTGATTCTGTTTTTTGTGTTTTAATTTTTGTTTTGGATCATGGTATTTATCTGGACATTTCTACTTTATAGCAAGGTAAGCCTACTTGTTTCTCCATTACTGGTGTACATTTTAGATGGCGTTATAGTTATTAAGTGGGAGGCGCAGTGGACTAATGGTTAGCACGTTGGACTCCGGATCAAATGGTCCAGGTTCAAGCCCTGGTTGTGGTCATTGTGTTGTGTCCATGGGCAAGACACTTTACTCTGACAGTACCAGTGAACTGTCAGGGCAACTGACAAAATGCTGGGGATAACCTACAATGAAATATATGTAGCATCCCATCCAGGGCCGAGAGTAGCAATACTCCTAGTCACTCGGGTTTGTAGTCTAATAATTTTATTGTTGACTAAAATTTGCATTCTATCTGTTATATTTTTCTTTTAGCTTTGTGATGAAGTTGTTTGACCGCAGTGTGGATTTTGCGCAGTTTAATGAAGACACGCCATTGTATGCTCTAGCGAGAGCCTGGATGCAGAACAAGCCGTATGGAACAAAGTCATCGGATTCACAAGAAGACACCCAAGATGGAGACTCTCCGTCCAGCAGCCAGGAGAGTGGCGTGTCGTCTACAACTCAGAGTGTTAGTATATAAAAATTGATAATGATTAGACTTTTAACCTAGGGAGACGCGGTAGGCTTAGCACATTGGACTCCAGGTCGAGTGGTCCGGGTTCGAGCACTGGCCTGGGTCGTTGTGTTGTGTTATTGGGCAAGTCACTTTACTCTCACGTACCTCTCTCCACCCAGGAGTATAAATAGGTACCAGCAAACTGTTGGGGCAATGACAAAAATGACAAAAATGCAAGGGGGGAGTAGCAATGTTCCTATAGTCGCTTCATGCTATGGAAACCAGAGTGAAGCGCTAGCCTGGTAAGCCACTAGTAGGCTACCCTGCGAGCACAGTCGCTTTCGATCTTCTAGGAAGATCGAAAGCGACTCTGCTCGCAGGGTACTAGTAGGCTTGTAGACAACCTTTAACCTATAGCTCTATTTTTTTTCCAGAATGGTGAGGGTGATGCAAAAAGTGTCTACAGGTAATGTTCAGAGATTTTATTCAACTGGTACATTATAAATCCCTTTTTATCTATGCTGTAAATACACGTGCAGTGTACATTGTACTTATGGTCTTGAAAACATCAGCTACACACCTATCTCGAGAAACTATGTTATTGATACTAAGGTGAAGACCAACGTCGCCAGTTTAAGATTTGTTCACATGTGGCAATAATAACTTGTCGCCTGCAAAAAAGTAGATCCTGAACAGTGATAGCGGTGTTTCAGATAAGAGAGGGGTCTCAGGTCAAAAACCCAACAAGGTCGGCTAATTGACACAACAGTTTGGTGAGGTCCATATCTACTGAACTGTTGTAATACCTCATTTTCAGTTTTTCACCTTTCCTTCAAAACTTATCTGGAACTACATGAAAGGCAATAAATTTTGAAATCATTTTTCTTTTGTAAAGTTTTCCAGAACCAGTTAAATTGATTGAAGACTGGGAGATGAACAGTACTCATACAAAAGGACCGCTTTCTCTTGATGTCCATTATGTAAGTACTTACAGTACATGTAAAAGCACAAAGTAGTTCTCACCTTGAATGGTACTACGATTATCAATATTGAGTAAGGCGCGCGGGAAGTTTGGTGACAATGTTTTCACGTTAAAACTACGTTGTTGCCATGAGCAACTGGCTAGGTTTCTAATGGCAACCCAGACTTTCTGTCTGTTACTGACGTCAATGGTATCAAAGCGTCAGCGACACACAAGTTACCATTGGAAACTAAGTCAGTTGCTCATGGTAACAACGTAGTTTTAACCTGTAAACCTTGCCACCAAACTTCCATCGCGCCTTACTCGTAGTACTTCACCATTAATTTTGTCACTAATTGAAGATTTTTCGATATTTATTGTATAATATAATAAAAAAATTATCATTCTGTTTCCTCCATTAGGATCTTGATAAAGCTCCGTCGGTGAGTGATCTCAAAAGAAATCACATTGAAAGATGGAAGAAAGTTAAGACTAAGTGAGTGTTGAGTTGGAAACATTAATTTTGATGGACCTCATTACAACAAGCATAAATAAATACTAATAAATTATTTTAAAATGTTTTGGCTGCGGTATGAGATAGTCCTGTTTTAGAGAGTGTCCACTTAGCCTGCGAGCAGGCTCGCAAAAAAATAGAGCGGCGCTAGCCGCGACAACGAGCCAGCTTGCTGGCAATCGGCGGGTTGGCCCACCCGCCGGTTGTCGCGGCTAGCGCTGCTCTATTTTTTTGTAAGCCTGCTCACAGGCTAAGTGGACACTTGAACCATGAATGCTATGGCTTTATTTTTACTTATTTTTCACTTCTTTAAACTTATTTTCTTATTTTTTTTTAGAACTAGCCAATCACAGTTTTGGTTCAAAGCAACAACCGAGACATTTTTTCTACCTTTTCTGTGCTTTCATCAAAGTACCATTGAGGTGGTCTTACTTTGATAAAAACATGGAAAAAAGGTAGAAAAAAATGCCTCGGCCGTTGCTTTGAATCATGGCTGTGATCCGCTGGCTAATTCTGAAAACAAGTAGAAAATAAGTTTAAAAAAAAAAATCAAACCAAAATGTTCTCACTCTGGATAAATAATCTAAACGTTGGTGATTATATCTTATATAATAATAATAATAATAAATAATAACCTTACCTGTCAAACAGCTTGCAACTGTGTAATTATACCATCCTGAACACCTGGCACTTCCTTTATGATAATATATAGCCATGTTACATGTAATACAATAGGCACACTAATTGGCGGCCTTCTTCAATAATGAATCTTGTCAGAGATATGGAAACTTGTCAGTTAGTATTTTTAATATAAATGCTAACTACATAACAGTAAATTAATCCTTCTTTTATGTTTCTGTTGCAGCTGGAGAGATAGCTCTTTCCAGAGACAAGCCCGCTATGCTCCAAGTATAAAAAAGATACGAGAACTCTTTGAACATCAATAACATGTCGTGTAAAAAAAGTATTTTATTCTCAGATACTTAAATATGCAATATACGTGTTAGATATCTACATGTACAGTAATTCCTCATATCCTTAGGAACAGTTGTTACAAGACATTCATTCTGTAAAATACAGCAAGAAAAAACTTACTGTGCAAATCAAAAAAGCATGAACAGATTAATTTAACTTTGACATGATCAAACCGCAAGAAGAATAGTCAGGAAACTCAAATTTACTGTACACTTTGTTTTTGCAGAAAAGCTTTGCGAAAATAGCAATAAAATAAATACAGGGTAAAAATAGACCAATTTTGGTAAAGGAAAATCCAAGCATTAAATCAAGGTGTTCTCGTTTTTCTGATTTGCACAGTAACAATAATTTGTTATTTGTTTCTGTGGTTAGTCATAAGGGTATAAACTACATGTACATGTATGGTTTATTTTGCCTTATTAATATTCGATAAGAAAACCATGTTATCGTATTTAAATAAAAGTAATAAATCAAGAGCTTTTGTAAAGATTGACCGAACATTTCTATCCATTTTCCAACTTTATTTGGATATTTGTAAAGATTTCCTAACGATTTTTGTGTCTGTCACATGTGGAATAATATTTTATGATAATAAAGTAAGGTATTCATGCTTCATGTGCATGTTGTAGTAACTTTACATATGTTCTTACTATACAACACATGTCAGGGTTGTCATTAGTAGCCGGGAACCGGCTATTATGACCGGCAACTGCATTAAAGATGGCCGGCTACTGAAAGATTGAAAATGACTAAAAGACAACAGCTACGGCTGGCTATCTGGAGTATTTGACCAGCTACTTTCCTGATCTTTCCTTGTGTAGCCAGCAGCCTGCTTCAAAGCTTAATGGCAGCTCTTCATATATAAGAAAGGTTACTGATAAAATTTCATGGAATATTTCAACAATTTATCAACCTGGTTTTTTTATCAGTATTGTAATGTTTTCAGCAGTATTTAAAGGGACACTGTCCCGGCGTATTTGCTCAAAACTGTTATAAATGCACGAAATGGTCTCTAAATCTATGAAATAAGAACTTAATAAACTCTAACTAAATGATAAAAAGCAATTTCTTCAAGAAATTCCATACTGCAACAAAATTTTTGCAAAATTTCAAAGATTTCCGAGCCAAATTTGAAACTTTGAAAAACTGACATCCTGACAGTTTTTCAAAATCCATATTGCAATCCATTTCCATCCTCGCTGTCGTTAGTCATCCTCACTTCCTAATGGGTTCCTGTCATTTGTCGAGTGCTATTCTACAGAATCAAACCATTATTGTTCAACTTCCTATGATCTAGATATGTTTCTGAGCTTCCCAAAATCATGCTAAAATCAGGACAGTGTCCCTTTAAAATAATAAATAAGCAGCATACTTGTATTCATTTCACTAGCCTGGGAATGTACCGCAGACTGATTCCCCTGGGGAGTACTCCCTTATCTAGCCTTAACGGAGACATGTGTTCCGATATGGTATGGTTTTCAGGCCGGTTTTTTTGTCTTGAACGGGTATCAAGGTATCTTTTTGATAGCACTATACTACAATTCTCGTCAAAAGTCCTTGGGACGCTTACTACCCAGTGGCAATGTTGTTTAAAGTGAGAAGTCAGTATTCAATTTTTCGAACCCCCCTGCCCTCCAAAACAATGTTGAAATATGGTCGCAAGATTGGAGAAATAAAAGTCAACACTGCATTGGGGGTGGGGAGGAGGAGGTGAAGACAACAACCATTTGTCGTCGCAAATATGAAGTGTCCCAAGACTTATGACAAGAATTGTAGACAGTGAGAAATTTGTGTCTTAAACAGGGTCAGGGTTTGAGCAGCCCAGCCACACCTCCCTACCTGAGCATCTGTTGAGTACCTCCCCTGGGCTGATTCCCTGAAATGTCCATAGCAATGGTGAGCATTGCTTGCCGTAGCCGGCAATAGCTTGCCGTCTCTATTTGTTCTTTTTCTTTTTTTGGTGGGGTGGGGTGAAGAGTGGTAGGAGGGTATATGGCCTAAGCTCCCACAAGTTTCCTGTAGCCCAGCCATCTCAGTGGTAGTGTGTCTGACTGTTGTGTGGAAGGTCTCAGTAATATTCACCAGATAATATATAATTTATTATTTCTGCTCTCTATACATGTAAACACATGGTAAAGGGTTGAGATAAATCT